GAGCTACACCATGATGCTTACTTCTTGTTGTGTTATTGCACCTGTTGTCTTTGTGATACCGGGTACTATCATTGTGTATTGTATGAGGATGCATTGTAGGATGATATCGAGGTTAGAGAGTATTCAATTACTCATGGCATGGTCCTTAGTAAAGACTAAGGGAAGAATGAGACTTACACTCAAGAGGTAGAACTTGATTAGGATCATGCATGTACCTACTGCTTAGTACCATGTCTTTAGCATAATTGTGTTTATGAAACTTGTAATGCTGCTTTAGATTAGCGATTATACTATTGGGCTTTGAAAGCTCAACGTCCGGATGTTTTCCATTCACAGGTTATTATCTTGAGCCGTTCGAGGAGTACTGTCGCAACAGGATTTCCAGCGTATTCTCATAAAGTACTGGTTGGTTACTTGTGGGATTATGTATTAATAGGACCCTTACTTGTGTATTGAGATTTGTAAACTTTAAGTTGTGTTATTTGATTTAAATTATGTGTCATGAAACTCCGATTTTATAAAAGTATTTTAATAACTGTTGTATATATTTATTCTCGGTACCACATAGTATGTTTTAAAATGAGAATGGACAGGTTTTGAAAATCACGAGTTACCATGATAGTCCAATATGACACTTTCAGCCCAATAAGGTTTAGGGCTAAATGACTTCTGGTTTTTTCGAATGAAATCACCTTTTTTTTCTCTAGTTTTTGTATTCGAAATCCCTTGGTTTCTCTCTGGTTGTTTTTGCTCCTCCCCTCTTAATATGGTTGTTGGTTCCCTTTTAATTCTCGTTTCCTTTTTTTTTCTGTGCATGCACGTGTGAACCTTGCCAAATTTCTCTGTCGGGTGCGGGGTGAGTGTCTTCTGATTCTCTGCAGCAACAGTTTAGCAGAGGGTAGTAGAGAGGAGTCCAGTGGTTTTGTTCGTTTGCTAGCCTTGACAATCGTGATTCTACTGGTTCTAGTTTGTATCCAGTGAGAGAAAATAATGGTCAGACCGGTATACAAATTTCAAAACCACTCTGACCTTTGGGTAATGCCGTAACCAACTTTTAGTGGCTACAAATATATCCAACCGTTCAGTAAAGTGAGTGCCATCTCGAGTCTCATACAGCCATGTTAGCCACCATTTCTACAACTTTATATCGACAAGACCATTGCGACTTTAACGCATCTCTAAAGCAATGTGAGAACATTGTTTGCGTCTGCCTCAATTCTTTTCATTATCACTTGGCACCTCTCCAACTATCCATGGCAGAGGAAAAGCATTTTGCAAGTTATCAAGTAAGGTCCAAGTTTTGTTTTTTCGATTAGAATTGGATATCCATATATACTAGTAAACATAAAATGGTGTTGTTCAGTATGCACTATAATATCAACATGATTAGACGAGTAAGACAAAAGATCAACTTTTATTTCATTGTTCCAAAGCAGCATAAGCCTGATACATTAACTTTCTCAATCTACTGTAAAACAATTCTGCATATTTAAACGATTATGAAAAATATCACTTTTATTCTGATTTAACATAGTTTTTTATAAGAAAATGATAGACATAGAACGATGGGCGAGAAAATGTCGAAGAGACTGAACTGTTGCAGTATTTGAGAGACCACGACAGTTCCAGCATAACATATTCATGGCGTTTGGCGGAGCTGTCCCACAACCTTCGCCGATATCTTTTTAGTTTTCCCAGTTGCCCCAACTACACTATCGAAAGTAGTGGACACTCTCTATTGTTTTGAAGTGATGATATTAGTAACTTCATATTTCCTTTGTAACCGCCTCTTAGATGACTTTCCCCAGAGTCATCCTTGGTACCAGCAAATGTTTTTGATGCCGTTTGCATTGATACCAGTGGTCCTTCTTCACCGGTGCATCAGCAGATTGCACATCCTTAGAAGATGGCATATTATCTTGTATACCGACAGCAATTCCAGTTGCCCCAATTCGCATGTTGAATCTAGAGTGAAGTTATTGAAAAGATAATATAATCCTTTATCAGAAATGCTTAATATTGGAAGTGTATTTGGTTGGAAGAAGAAGAAAAATATTTAACTGCACCAAAGGATATGTTTGATGATTGGGTTAAAATAAGTATTTTAGTTAAAATTTGTGTGTTCTTTGTTATCTACATATATATAATTGTAAAATTCTTTAAATTTAATAATTTATTATCTTACATAGTCATCCAACTGCTGCTGGATTGAGAAACAAATCATTTCCATTTTTGATGACTTTGTCCAAATATTTGGAAAAGAAAGAGCAACAGGAACATCAACCGATGTAGTGAAGGATCTTGATGTAGAAGATAATGCATTTATTGAAGAAGATAGAGTAAGAGATTCTAAATCAAAAGAGGATATTGGTGCTTCAACTTGCCAAACATCTACTGTTACTGTCTCTACCTCTACAATAAAAAAATAAATGGTAAGAAAAGCTCTCGGAGTGATGATGGGTTATCCGATCTTGTAGAGGAGATAAGTAAGTTCGGTGCTGCATATCGAGAAACTGCCCAAGGAATTAAGGACAATATTGCATGTCTTAAAAAGGGGGCGAAAGGAAATGATCGAAGAATGTCGATTTTTACCGAAATCATAAAAATTGAAGGTCTCTCCAATGATAAAATGCTTTCTGCAGGAGAGTATATCAACAAAGATGCGTACAAGGAAGGTTTCTTCTTTTCATTGTCAAAAGAATTCAAAAAAGATTATGTGATTAAGCAATTAGTTGAATGTCATATGTATCGACCATCCTTGTGACTTTGGTCCTTCTATAGATGTGTGCATTTCTTTTTTATTTTGGCTTTAGAATATGATGTCAATTTTTTTTTTGTCTAGCTTCACTAAGTATATGTAAAACTACTTTTGATGTAACAATTTTTTATGTATATAATATAGCCAACATATATGCTTAAGTTTATAATGTCATGGCTATTATCTTTTGTAGGTTTGAACATATGTGTTTTTTTTATCGTTAATGCTCTACTTATTTTTGTTTGTAAGCTGAACAAGAATGTAAGTCTCTAAATTATATGAGAAATTTTTTTTATGTAACATGAATAGTTAATATGTTTAGGCGATTTTCATTCAAGTATTTAATGCATATTTGATGTTGAGTATTTGGAGATTTCAATGGAATATGGAGTTTGTATGTACAAAACTTGTGGTTTCTTTACTTTTCCAAACCTGTTGTACTTATTCTTGTTTTTCCATCAACAACAGTGAACTTTACAGTGTGAGGTTTATCAAATTTTATTTGGTGCTTATATTCTATCTATTTATTAATTTCACTTTTCTATAATCAAATTAGTTTAAATCAAGACAAAAAGTATTAGAAAAAACAATAGATATTTTGTTTAATATCATCATTAATATTACTATTGGTGTTACCATAAACAAAGATGAAGAGCAATACCTCAAATTCAATATATAATGACAAATCATGAAAATAAATTGTGTTCATTGCCCAAAACTATAACTAGTTTGTAAATAAATTATGATAATTTTTTGTATAAATAATTTATAAACAAACAATTAAAAAGGAAAAAAAAGAATATAAAAGAAACTAATCAAGAACTTGGGATAAATGAAAACTCTAAACTTTAAAAAAAAAACTTCAATCAACTTATTCCCTCATAACTCAAATATTGTGATATTAAATTGGTATTACGTATACAGAGGTTTAAGAATTATTTTGAAAGATTTAGATAATATCAATATTAAACGAATTTAGACATTAGAAAAGTAAAATTATTATTATTTTTAATAATATATATATATTCTAATCAGTATATTGAAGATAATCTTAAAAAAATAATAAAGTTACCCATGTTTATTTTTTTAGAAGTAAAACGATTAATCTGTTAAAATTTTCATATTCTTCTATACTTAAATGATGATGTAAAATTTTGATATATTTATAGATAACTGATGTAAAAACTAATATTGATTAAGATTAAAAGAATATATGATATATTTATTCTTTTATTTTACTCATTTATCTTTTAAATTTTGTAAACAAATAAATTGTATGAATTTAAATTTTATATAAAAATTAAAAAATAATAAATTAATATATTTTCTATGAATTATTACATAAATATTTTCATTTGAATATTTAAAATTCAATTTGTTTAAAAATAAATATATCACAAGGACAATTTGATAAAATATACATTCAAGTTATCTTTTATTCCTTCAACTAAACACTGTAATCTTACATTACTGCCAAACCAAACACAGTAATATAACATTCCAGTAATGTGTCAGATAATATTACATTCTGGTAATCCTATTCACAGAGATAATCCTACATTCCATGAACTGAACTGAATGAAACTCTGAAACTCAATTTGTCAATAGCATTAAGAATAAGAGAGATCTAACTTTAGATCACAAATACAGACAAACAAGATTTACTCAAACTATATCACATACTTACATAACATGAATTGCATATGCAACCTATATCTTAGAACTAATATAACTATCAAATAATTGTGAGTTTAACAAATTATTTGTCTAAGCAAGTACTTCAATTTCTTCCCTTAAAGTCTCTTTTTCACTTCACTTTTAAGATTGAGATTAAATTTAGAATTGTCAATAAAATAAATCATTTGTCTCCTGAATTATATATTTTTTTATTGAGTTGTCCATTAAAGGTTTTGAATTTCCCTAATGATTTAATAAATCATTTGTCTCTTAAATTATCTCTTCGACCTTTTTTTTAGAGATTTATATTTTTAAGTGAAAATCAAAATATATGATTAAAGAATACCAACGTGGTCAAATAAGTACAATTCGGCCGTCTAAATATGTCACATCAAATTTATGTGACTGTAGTAACGGTCGAGTGACCAATTTGTTATAAAAATAATAATATTAATGACCATTTAGTTACTTTTAAAAATTCAGTTCCAAAAAAAGAAAGATACTCATATTTTAGTGACCATTTATGTGTAGTTTACCAATTTTTTACCTTCCGAGTACTCGTCAAGTAAAGACCCGTCAACTTCTCCACTGCTCCAGCTCCTTCTCTTTTTCCCTCTCTGACTCGGCTACCGCTTTCTCTGTGCGAACAAACTGGTTGTAGATTTTCCAACTTTTCAATTCTTTAAAGGGTATGTGTCTCATTCATCCTTTCGGTTCTTGATTCATTAAGTTTATGCATATCTTCAGATTTTATGGTTCTCAATCCACGGTTTCTGTCATTTCAAATATAGTTTTCATTTCGTTTATTCTATTGGAGATTTTAATCAATGGCTTTATAAGTTCTTGAAGGGAGATTAAGATTTGTCTCAAATGGTTCAACAAAACTCTACCTAACAAGTGGGAATAGTAAGGACTATTTCACGTGATTGTGCAATACCCTTTCTTTTCCCCCTTTTGCCCTGTATTAGTATTATCTTGTGATGTTCTTTGGTTTTGATCTGGGTATTTTTTGGTAACTTTACATTATTATGCTTATGCAATCTTCCGAGTTATTATTGCAGACAGTAAAGTGTTTTCACGTGTTATTCGTTCTATTTCTATATTTTATCTGCAGACTGGCTAAGTCAAATTGCTAGGGTCGCTTTTTTGTATTGATAAGGCTGGTATTATTTGGTTATGGCTTCGAGAGCAATCTTGCGGAGGAGGAGCTACATTTACAATTCCCCAACTCGGCTTACTTCCCTGATTCGGGGCTTTTCTAGTTTTGAGCGTAGGCAATCATTTACATCCGAGGATTCACAAGAATCGCCCTGGGTTGCTAGTCGTCCTTATCCTAATTCTGATTTTAAGAAAGCCATTTTACCTTCAGTTCTGAAAAATGAGCTATCAAATAACCTAGCAGCACAACATTGTAGGAGTAACTCTTCTGGAATCTCAAGCTCGGGTTATCAAGTGGGAAATTTAGAATTTGGATTTCCATTGGGAGTTCTATGGTTTTCACAATCTGTGCGTTCAGCTTCGACTGCCACTGCTGGTAAACCCAATAATCATGGGAATGAACAACAGGCTTCTAAAAAGGTGAAGGAGGCTTCGCCTGAGGAATGTGATCAAGCAGTGGAGGGCCTGAGTACAGTGAAAGCCAAAGCCAAAGCTAAGCAGGTACAGGACTCCAACAAAAGTGCACAACTGTTCATCAAGAAATTATGGGCTATGATTCTTGGCATTGGACCTGCCTTGAGAGCTGTTGCTTCTATGAGCAGGTTTAAACTTTTCTAGTTTGTTTATGGTTGAACTGATGTAATTGCTCTGATACTTATTATTTTATACCATTCTGCAGAGAAGACTGGGCAAAGAAGCTTCGCCATTGGAAGGATGAATTTAAATCTACAATGCAACACTATTGGTTGGGTACAAAGCTACTGTGGGCTGATGTTCGGATAAGCTCAAGGTTGTTGGTAAAACTTGCTAGTGGGAAGGGTCTTTCTAGAAGGGAAAGACAACAGCTTACTAGAACGACAGCTGATATTTTTAGGCTAGTTCCTTTTGCCGTCTTTATCATAGTCCCATTTATGGAGTTCTTGCTACCTGTATTCTTGAAATTATTTCCCAACATGTTACCTTCAACCTTTCAGGACAAGATGAAAGAACAGGTAATTGTTTCCTTGCGTTTTTCCATTAATGAAGCATTTATCTGGTTTTACCATCATTCTTATTTGTGTTATCTATGGCTTTAGAAGTAGCCAATTTATGCTAACCTGGTGTTCGTGATCATTCTGATTGTTTATGATAGAAAGGAATATTTTTTTATTACTTTGTCTGCCTACCTTTTATAATAGTACTTTGTGAAGTTTCTAACAACTATCCACTGAAGTTGAGTTTATTATACATATAAAGTAAGATTGTGGTCTCAGTTGATATGCTTAACCTATAGGAAGCATTAAAAAGACGGCTAAATGCCAGGATAGAATATGCAAAGTTTCTTCAAGATACAGTGAAAGAAATGGCAAAAGAAATCCAAAACTCACGGAGTGGTGATGTTAAAAAGACAGCAGAAGATCTTGATGAATTTATGAACAAGGTATCTTTTTCTCTTTTTAATTTTACTCTTCATGGCATAAATGGAAGCTGATTCTCCTGTTTTGGTTATAGGGGGAAATTTATTTTGGTTTTTCATTTAAGTGAAAGATATTGATAAGTGTTTCATTCTGGTATATGAACAGGTTAGAACTGGTGCAGGTGTATCCAATGATGAAATTTTAGGCTTTGCCAAGTTGTTTAATGATGAACTTACTTTAGACAATATTAGCAGGTTCGTACTACATTAGATATTGTCTTAATTATCCCACACTTCATCTCTTCAATGGATATGTGTGCATGTTCTTTCCTCTTAGATGGAATAAGAAAAGAGGGATTTGTTGTGTCTTTCAGTTTGTTGTTTCCTTATACTGTTGATGATTTTAGTTGCTTTCTTTGTTGGTTACAGGCCCCGTTTAGTGAATATGTGCAAATATATGGGTATCAGTCCATATGGTACGGATGCATATTTACGATATATGCTTCGAAGAAGACTGCAAGAGTAAGACTCTGCTTTTTATTTTGGGGATGTTTACAGGATGCTTAATTGCTTAGCTGACACAGTTTTAGCTAGTTTCTTTGTCTTGATCATTATTGCTTTATAAAAAAACTAATGGTTGTTTTAAGAATTAGGAGTGTGTCATGAATAGGAAACTTGCACAATTTCAGTTTTGCTTGATTTTTGAAAATTTGAATTGTTAATATTTTGTATGTGTTTTACAGAATAAAAAATGATGATAAGATGATTCAAGCTGAGGGTGTGGAGTCCCTTTCAGAAGCAGAGCTTCGACAAGCTTGCAGAGAGCGGGGCTTACTTGGATTACTTTCAGTGGAGGAAATGAGGCAACAGGTTAGTGTTCAACCTGGTCCATCTTTTCCATCAACTAAAAATTAGGTGGCTTCATTCAGAAGCTCATTGAAAAATTTTCAAGGATATTACAAAATGTGGCTAATTTGGATTAGTACAAGGAGCTTCAAACAAAAGAACAACAATTTGTTATTCTTCTTTCCCAATAGTCAACAGCAGTAGGATTTTATGGCATACATGCATGCATGCATGCATACAGTCACGTATAAAATTTTGATTAAAATATTTGTTTTGGAACCTCATTTCTAATTTTATACCTCGATTATTAATTACTGCTACTTATAGGTTTTTTTGAAATGTCTTATCATGTTCTTTGAATAATTATTCTCCTTCCCAGTTGCGTGATTGGCTGGATTTATCTCTCAATCACTCCCTGCCCTCGTCTCTATTGATTCTGTCTAGGTAATTTTGATGAACACCTTTTTATTATTGTTTTGTTTTTATTTGACCTATGACTGCATTCAGAATTTATTCCCTTGTTCTTTTTCTCTACAGAGCATTCGCTGTGTCTGGAAAAGTCAGACCAGAAGAAGCTGTTCAAGCTACACTCTCCTCTCTTCCGGATGAGGTTGTCGATACTGTTGGGGTTACAGCTTTACCATCTGAGGATTCTGTTTCAGAAAGGAGGAGAAAGTTGGAATTCCTTGAAATGCAGGAAGAGCTTATCAAGGTTTTTCCTGCTTTAATGCTTTACGTGATTTTGCAATCTCTTAGAAGATAGGAAAACAGTTTTTCATTCCATAGTCACATTCTTCTCCCGAGCCGTTAGACATTTTGTCCTTTATATGATTCTCATTTTCTTTGCTCTCTTATATGATACCGGTAAAGAAAAGAAAAGAAAAGAAAAACTCGTTTACATTGTGTTGAATGAATTATCATTTTATTTTATGTTAACTATCCAGAAAAAGAAAAAAGTTATCATTTTATCAAGGTTTAGCTCATGTAATATAGGCTGATGCCAAGGTGGATTACAATGAAAAATATAAGGTATAAATCTCAAGGGCTTATTGGCAAAAACCTAGCTTTTGGATTGGGATTAGGATTGCAGTGCTTAATTTCCCTGCATGTTTTAAAGCACACAAGTTGACTTTGATTTACTATAGGCATTTATATCTGAGAATGTTAGATCTTAGGTTCTAGCTCTTTTGCATTTGATGTGTGTGGACTTCTTATTTATATTTGAATAACCAAATGTGTAGGAGGAAGAAGAGGAGGAGGAAGAGGAACAAGCCAAGTTGAAAGAATCTATTAGCAAACAAAAGGATGTGGCTCTGGAAGAGATGACTGCTTCCACAGAAAAAGAAGCACACGAATTAGCTAAAGCAAAAACATTGGAGAAACATGAGCAGCTATGCGAGCTCAGCCGAGCATTAGCTGTTTTAGCTTCTGCATCTGTAAGGACCGGCTGTAATAACACTTCCTATTTGTATCTTATATTTGATACCTTGTACTCTGATTCTCGACTTTGCTACTACTTTTTCAGTCAGTCAGCTGGGAGCGTGAAGAGTTTCTGAGACTTGTCAAGAAAGAGGTATTTAGTGCGGAATTGTTACTAGATTATTAATCATGCATGTTCATTTTATGATTACTGATTTGGGATGCATTGGTCAGAAGCATGAAGGTTTGTGACTTCAAATGCCCATCCAACCTGAGATTCAACCTTGGGTTGGCTTAACTTTAACAAGCTCAAAACTTACAAAACCCATTCTAAGCTTTCTAGAAACTGTTCAACATTAACATCAACCTCGTCTCAACTAATCTTACGAAGCTTATCCACTTGCAGGTGCATGCCCCCAAAAATAAGACTTGAAAACATTTAAAGGACCAATCATAAACTTTCTGCCCCATAGGTAATGGTCAATTAATTGCACAATACATGAAAACAAATAGGAAGAAGAAAGACAAGGACTTCATGAGTAAGTAAATGGATTGGAAAGATAGAAGAACGACAAAAATTCAATTCACGTGGAACTCCTTAGGGGCCTATAGACTAAGTATGTTAATAGAAATGGTCTCTTTTTCCTATTTGTATTTCTTGTCCCGATTCTTCTAGTTCAAGCGGAACTCCTTGTGAGACAATTCAAGAAAGCATTACATGCAAATACCATGATCTTTGGAAGAGAGTACGGTGAAAATAGATAATCCAGTGTCTGCTTATATCAACTTCTTTTTTGTCCTAGGTCCCCTTCGATTTTCCGATTCTATTTGAGATTTGAGAAACACTTTCCTTTCCCATATTCCATATCTTATCAACCATCTACTTTTGGATAGACTCAAATAAGAATTTGAAAGAGTTATTGTTTAGGAATTGAAAGATGTTTGCTTCTTTCAAACTCCATTTAGTTTATGCTTATTTTGAAAAGCAGCAAACCTTTCTTTTATTTGTATTTTTGTTTACTATGTCTATTCTATTCATTATATAAGTGATGATACCCATCAGTTATTAGAACTATTTTTAAAACTATTCATATTTATATTTTAGTCATATAGATATTATATTTTTTTTATAAAAATAGGAGGCCTCATTAAAAGCCTCCCTCATAGTTGGCTCTTGAAAAGGGGAAACTAGCAGAAGGAGGAAAAGAGTGCCTCAATTTATTAATTAGTCGACAATTACATAAGAGTAAACCATTACACCTTAGACAACAGTTTAATCAAAAACCACTTTAAGCTTCCTAGAAAAAAACCATTCCAATCACCCAATCCCCTCAGCTAATTTATCAACCTCCTAATTACAACCCCTAAGAATCAATCTAACAATAATCGCCCTAGCTAAAACTAAGGACACAATATCCATGACTTGGGTACTAAAGAAAGGAGCATAACTCGGCAACATAATCCAGTCAACGATAGTTTTGCAACCACTCTCTGTTATCAGTCTTCCCTTCAATGCCAAAATTGAGGATAGAAAAATGTCAATGCCTTTTTTAATGGCTTTCAACTCAGCCATAGGAGGAGGACCAAGACCAACACTATCAGGGAAGGTTGCTTAAGTGTAGAGTCTCTTAAAATACCTCCAATTCCACCAGCCAGCCCATCTATCCTGACAGCCCCATCTACATTAATTTTGAAAAATTCTACTGGGGGAGGAAGCCAACTTTGCACCATCGTTCTATGAAAAGAATGACTAGAAAGCCTGTCTGCAAGAGAGGGGTCCCTAACCTGCAAATCAACCTGATATGAACTTGAGAGAACTTAGCTAGAAACCATTTTGCCAACCTAAATCTAATTATGAAGAAGAGAGAGGCTCTGTCAAGTTTCATATTATCAAAAACAATTGAATTCCTAGCTTTCCAGATGGACCAAAAAACAACTCCCGGGATAAATTTCCAAATGGAAGAATTAGCCCTTAATTCAGACCATGAACTTAGCAGGGTAGGGGGATCATGAGGCAATGTTGTAGAGATGTCCTAAATCCTGAAAAATCTGTTCCAAAGTTCCTCTGCAACAGAGCACGAAATGAAAAGGTGTTGAATGGTTTCTTCATTCTTATGGCAAAGTGGACATAGAACATCATACAAGGGAACCCCCTTTTCTTCAGCTCCATTTTGACTACCAATTTTTGATGGGAAGCTTGCCAAAGAAAGGTTTCGACTCTAGGAGGAGCCGAACCCAACCATACCCACTTATTCTAGTTAAAACTAACTCCAGATTTTTTTTTATTAGTGTCAACCTGCTGGATTTGTCATTTTTGTTTATTCGATGCTCAATGGCAAGAAGAAAAATACTATTCAATTTCCTTCGCAGACCCCCTCAGTTCCATCTTCAAGATCTCCTCTTCTAAGATTTGCTGTCCCCTTTAAAAGAAATCCCCAACAAATTACATACCTCACGAGTAGCAACTGCTGCTTCTCTCGCTTTAATAGAGGAATGAGACGACTTTGAAGAGTCCCTGTCCTGCTCCAGAGATTCCCTGACCTTGCTTCTATAATCCCTTTTATAGACTTTGTCAAAGAAGCTAATTGATCTACTACCCTCCGAGCACACACTTCCTGAACGACGGGGAGAGATACTGGTATGATTTTGATGGCTGAAACTCTTCGACCGAGAAATAGTCGATACAGATTTTAGTAAAGGAGTCTTCTGATTTTCCTTAGCTCTAATATGATCATCAGATATGGTCCAAGTTATATTTACCTCTTGGTTCACAAACTTGCTTGCACTTGAACCCAAAGTCGAGTTGCTACCCGTAATATGCCCAATCTGAGGATGGGTCGGTTCACCCATAAACTCCTGAAGAACAATCCTTTGATCTAAGGGTTCTTCTCCCACACTAATGGTAACCGGATTAATCTTATTGGTAATATCCGTAACATTTAAATTCTCTGCATTAGATACAAGTTATCCTTCTTGGCGCCTCAGGACTTCTAACTGACTCCTACCAAGAGCAACATTCCCTTCAGTTTCTGACTCAGCTCCTTCCCCTCTTGTAGGTTCCTTTTCTAACTCCCCTTCTCCCTCTTTTGTAACTTCTACAAGAGTATCTATTTCCTTATTGAACTGAAGAAGAAACCGACCCTTATTATTTTCTGTCCCTACCCAGCCCACTTTAAATTAAAAGCAGGCCCCGCAGGAGTAATTTTCTGGACTGGAGAATATGGTTCCCCATTATCTTCCAATTGGGCCTGAGGATCCGAGTCCAATTCTTTCCACAACCCAAGACCCGCGAAATCCCCTGTGGGATTTATCTCATTTTCAAAACAATCTGACAACCCATAATTAGAAGGTTCCGTGGTTGACTTCCTCAACAGTAATTGTCCCCCACTAACCTCTTTCAAACCACTCTTTTGTACTTGATTCAGCCACTTGACCACCTTAAGCCTAGACTCCTCTGATAATTTCTGACTTCCATTTGCAACCAATGTAGGACGACGACTGTCTTCTTCCTTCGACAAGACATCTTCACTATACCATTCTTTTGAAAAAATTTCCATCTCCTCCCCAGAAAATTCATCAGGTTTTTTAAAAACCTACCCTAATGTGATCTCGACTTTAAAGGATCTGCTATAAGACCCTACTGTGACCGTTTCAGGGACGTCAAAGGGGCTCGCCACTCTGATCAGGACTTTCGCCGACGAGAGGTCCACTCTACTCTTGGACTCCTCTTTAATACAGATGAACTTTCCCCACCTCCCAGCAAGTTTATCCAGGAACGCCCCATTCCAGCATAATAGAGGGATTCCATATAACTCCACCAGAAAAAACGCTAATGGAACACCCTCGTCGTTCAACAATGGAGCCAACCAGTCAAACCAGAAAAATAGCTCCTCCTCCTTGTTTGTCCACACTTTTGAAAACTCTTCAACCGACTTAAACGTAATGATGCAAGCATTCCAAACATAACCCCATCTCGCTATTCTTACTTCAACACCCTCGTTCGCCAATGCTTTCTGTACCAGTTCCTGCTCGAAGGAGGATTTGATTATCCCTGTTAAGGACCGTTTCACCCAGTCCAAATCTTCAGTAGGAATGTGTATCTCCCAGACGTTCCTCAACCCTTTTGCAGCCTGCAATGTGTCACGGACTTACCTTTTCCAACTAGGTTTGTAATCCGTGCGGCACCTGAAAAGGGACTCTTCCTAAGTCAAGTCAGCCTTTATCTCGTATATCTGATCAAACAGGAATAAACATCACGTTAGATCATTGTAGCAACATGGTCCCTCAACCAATAATTTGAGCCCGTGGGGCATAGTGGATGCACACCTCAACCCCCGAACGTCTCCGAGAGAAAAATGTTTTATTAACAAAAGAAACATCGGGTTACAGAAGACTCACCCACACCATCGATTAGGCCGTAGGGGCGGCCCTCGATGATGTTCACAAGACACGTACCTTTACCTGTGGATCAGCCCAAACTCTGCCGGCTGTCCACCCCCTACATATATGCGAAAACAAAATAACAGAAATGCTACCTATAGACGTTGAAAAGCTCGAACAGGGGACATTAAGACATATCCCCACTCCCTACCTAAAACATTGAAATGCTTGAAAAGAGGACAAGCTTATTATACCCTGCCACTAGGCCCTATACATGGTTGGCCTTGGCATACCTATCCGGTTGTGGCCATATAAGAAAGGGATGGCCACGACATTCTACCCCACCCATTTAGTCGATGTCCTCATCGACGAGTGCTTCTCGAACCTTTTCCTTTTGACGTTGTGTTGAGGACTTCTCTCGTGGTAAAATTCTTCCTTTCCAACTTCGGCAGCAAGGTTGTCGGCACTACACACGAGATCTCTCCCAACAGCATCAAACAACTTGTAGAAGGCATCGGAATAACTCGTGCTGATATCATAAAGTCGATACCTAAGACAACATCAAAATCATCCTTCGGAGATATGGTAAAGTCAACTTCCCCTTCCCATACTCCTAGTTTTATCTTCACATTCTTAGCGGTCCCACATATCGCCACGGCAGACGAGTTCACTGCCTTCATCTGCCCCTCTTCCTTGGTAACATTCAATCCGCACCTCATAGCTTCCTCAGGGGAGATGAAAGTGTCGGTTGCTCCAGTGTCCACCAGGACCCTTGAAGTTATTCCATTCACTACGAGATCCACATACATGAGGCCCCTAACTGGCTCTTTCCTTAACCTACTAACTTGAGTTTGTAACGCACACAAGAATCGAATCGAACCCATTCTAGCTGGTTCATTTTCAGTATCCTCTTCTGATGGATCTTGTTGTGATTCATTCCTCGATGTGTTCACAAGCGCATTGAACGCCCTCCTATGCAGACACTCAGCCAATCGATGAGAGCCTTTACACAAATAGCACTTCCAAGGATGATCTGGGTCTTTTCCCACTTTGCCTATGCCCATTCTTAGGATGTGAATCCACAGATTGCCTCGATTTATCGCCACTCTGCCTATACCCATTACTTGATGTATTTGGTATTGGGTCTCGGAGAAAAGGCCTCTTATCTGTTTCCCAACTGAAAGCTCCATCCCTTCTAGCCACCTTATTCCCATTACTGAAATTAATACCACCATCACCCCTAAACAGATTGTCCTCTCCTTGATAGGGGCCTTTTCGCTTGACTATAACATTAGTATAATCGCTGAGACGCTCAGCGGCATTCATAGCTTCAGTCACATCCTCTACTCGTTGTCTTTGGATCTCTGTTCTAGCCCATGGTTTGAGCCCTTCCAGGAAATAGAACATTTTGTCGTTTTCAGCCATGTCTCGGATGTCTAGCATCAATGTTGCAAATTCTCTCACATATTCACAAACAGTTCCTGTTTGTTTTAGTCCCCTCAACTTCTTTCGTGCATTGTACTCCACATTCTCCGGGAAGAAGGTTTTCTTCAATTCTTTCCTCAAATCATCCCAAGTATTGATGGAACACACGCCGTCAACAAACTTGGATCGCCACCATAATTTGGCATCTCCTGCAAGATACATTGAGGCCATAGAGACCTTGTCCTCTTCGGAGTTAGCCTACATCACTTTAAAATATTGCTCCATGTCAAACAAGAAATTCTCCAACTCTTTAGCATCCCTGGTCCCGCCAAACCGCTGAGGTTCCGGTACCTTGACCCTTTGACTTTTGTCAACAATGCCTGAGCCCAGATTACCCACAGCGAGTTGAATTAAATTGACTTGAGCCTTGAGTTCGTCGAACGACTCTAACACAGAACTGATAGCATTTTGCGCTTCAGCCTTAAGTTCGTTGAAGGCTTCTGAGAGTTGAGCTTGAGCTAACTCAATCACTCGAACTCGATCCTCCGAAATCATCCCAGCTTTTAGTGCCGCTACTTCGGCTTCTAAACTCTCACTTCTGTTCTGGTTTACAGAACCACTGGAACGTGTTCCAACCATTTTCCAATATCTGTTAGGTAACACTGTAAAAACAATAATAATCACAAGTACCAGAATACTTGGAATATAATTTATCACAACACAAATTCTTTCAGCATCTTCGTGCCAAAAGTATCGCCTTGATGTCAACAACACAAATAAGCATTCTCGCACAAATGTTACCATAAAGCACCTCCGTGCTACATAAAGCAAGATCCCCTTGCCAAACAGTGTTATTACATGTGCTTGTATTGTTACTCAGATGAAAATATCCCTGCGCAGTTTCACAATTGAGCACTATTGTGCCTAGATCATATTATTTCACCTGGCCTACTCCACACGTTAAGGCGCTCGGCGTAAGATCAGGTCATCCTGCCTACTCCCCTCTGGAAGCGCTCGGCATGAACTCTGTCTACCCTGCCTACCCCACACGTTGAGGCGCTCGACCTGATATTAAAGCACATTCTATTTCACCCGACCTACTCCACACGTTAGGGCGCTCGGCGTAAGACCAGGTCATCCTGCCTACTCCCCTCTAGAAGCGCTCGGCATGAACTCTGTCTACCCTCCCTACCCTACACGTTGAGATGCTCGGCGTGAATCTGGGACACCCTGCCTACTCCACACGTTAGAGCACTCGACGTAAGATCAGGTCATCCTGCCTACTCCCCTTTGGAAGCGCTCGGCATGCACTCTGTCTCCTCTGCCTACTCTAAACGTTGAAGCGCTCGGCGTGACATTAAGGCACATCTTATTTCACCCGGCCTACTCCACACGTTAGAGCGCTCGGCGTAAGACCAGGTCATCCTGCCTACTCCCCTCTGGAAGCGCTTGGCATGTACTCTGTCTCCCCTGCCTACTCTCAACGTTGAAGTGCTCGACGTGATATTATAGCACATCTTGTTTCACCCGGCCTACTCCACACGTTAGAGCGCTCGGCGTAAGACCAGGTCATCCTGCCTACTCCCCTCTGGAAGCGCTCGGCATGTACTCTGTCTCCCCTGCCTACTCTCAACGTTGAAGTGCTCGGTGTGATATTATAACACCCTACCTACTCCACACGTTAGAGCGCCCGGCGTAAGATCAAGTCATCCTGCCTACTCCCCACTGAAAGCGCTCGGCATGAACTCTGACCCCCTTCCAACTCTTAACGGTGAAGCGCTCGGCGTGAAAATAGGAATACCCTGCCTACCCTATACATTAGAGCGCCCGGCGTAAGATCAGGTCATCCGGCCTACTCCCCACTGGAAGCGCTCGGCATGAACTCTGTCCCCCTTCCAACTCTTAATGTTGAAGCGCTCGGCGAAATTCCTTAAAAGAAATAAGAACACATCTCGTCTACCACGAATCATTCGGCTCTGATACCAAGTGTTACGGACTTACCTTTTCTATCTAGGTTTGTAATCCGTGCGGCACCTGAAAAGGGACTCTTCCTAAGTCAAGTCAGCCTTTATCTCGTATATCTGATCAAACAGGAATAAACATCACGTTAGATCATTGTAGCAACATGGTCCTTCAACCAATAATTTGAGCCCGTGGGGCATAGCGAATGCACACCTCAACCCCCGGACTTCTCCGAGAGAAAAATGTTTTATTAACAAAAGAAACATCGGGTTACAGAAGACTCACCTACACCATCGATTAGGCCGTAGGGGCGGCCCTCGATGATGTTCAAAAGACACGTACCTTTACCTGTGGATCAGCCCAAACTCTGCCGGTTGTCCACCCCCTACATATATGCGAAAACAAAATAACAGAAATGCTACCTATAGACGTTGAAAAGCTCGAACAGGGGACATTAAGACGTATCCCCACTCCCTACCTAAAACATTGAAATGCTTGAAAAGAGGACAAGCTTATTATACCCTGCCACTAGGCCCTATACATGGTTGGCCTTGGCATACCTATCCGGTTGTGGCCATATAAGAAAGGGATGGCCACGACACAATGCACCCTACCTGTTAACCCCAGTAACTGGTTCACTTCGCATTCTGCTATCCGTATTCAATACATCCTTATACGTTCTGCCATCCCTAAGACTTCTCAAAGACTCAACACCCCCCCGTTCTTTGTTTTTTCAACTCTTTTCGGCTTGGTGATTTCCATCTGACTCCTGCCTTCAACAGCTATTCTTTTCCGAATATTTTGATATTTTGCAACCCCCATTGTAACTCTTTTCCCATCAATCCACGTTCCATTGACATACTGGATTGCCTTCCTTTGACCTTCTTCATTAGCAAACTGAACAAAGGCAAAAGTTGATGTTTTATATTTTGGCTCAGTAAAACTTGGGATGAAGATCCTCACAACTTGGCCATGGTGGTTGAATAATTCCCTTAACGCTCTTGATACCCTCTTACTAAGGTTATCAACGAAAACTGTCCACTCCTTTTTGGAGACATAATTTCCTTTCAAATTTTCTTTCCCTCTCACCCTACCTCTCGCACTCATTCTCTCTTAATAAGTTCTTCCCACCAACGCATGCAAATAACTGGATCACCGCCTACCGCCTATCTTCTTAACTTTTAGCAAGATATTGCCATGCATTCAATTTTTAGTTTTCACTGATCAGCCAAAGAAAATATGACTTCACCTTATAGATATTATATTGCAATTCAAATTACGTGCAATCTATTAATTAAGATTCAAAGTTGGAACTATATCAGCAATTTTTGACCATATAATCACTAAAACATGATCGAGTTGCATATTTGTTAACCTTAAAATTTGCATCATTTATGTTGCATGAACAAGCAATGAAAACTGTGTTAGATTCAATTTTTATGGAAGAAATCAGAACTCAATAAACAATTCATAACGTTCTTATTGAATACCGAACTCTTGACAAGCTTGTTTACAAACTGTTTATCAGAAGTCTGATCAATATAGTGATCAAAACTCACGTCATTTAAAATTTGTTCCATGTTGTGAATGTTCTTGGAATTTTTATTCAGTTGTTTAATTCAAGAAATGAACACAAGTTCTACTTAAACTCATTCTTAAGCACTTGTTCCATGTTTTGAATGTGCTTGAAATTTTTATTCAGTTGTTTAATTCAAGAAATGAACACAAGCTCTACTTAAACTCATTCTTAAGCTCTGACAAACTGACTTTTGGGCACCTTATGAGCTGCAAAGGTAGCTTTCACTTAATGCGGAGAAAATTAAATCCCCTTGATCTTTGCTATATATGTACTATTATACAATCCTAAATCCTGTATATAAAATTTGAATATTATCCATGCGTACTAACATTGTCTTATATTTCGGATACATTTTAGGATTTTAAAGTTATCGAGTTCCTTTCTGTTTTTCTTTTAACAATTTTAACATGTTTTTGTTATTTTTTTTTATTCTTTGCACTTACATTCTCAGGTAGAACTTTACAACAGTATGGTAGAGAAAGAGGGTACAGAAGAAGAAGAAGAAGCTAAGAAGGCTTACCAAGCTGCCCGAGAGCATAGTGACTATACAGCTCAGAAGGCAATTGGTGACAAAGTTTCCTCTGCACTTATAGACAGGGTAATAATTTCTGTATATTCTTCAGTTAAGACGGTCTTCAACTTCAATCTTGGTGCTCTAAATATATTAACTATCTCCATAGTTGATTATAACGTATGCTCTTTTAAACCTGGAAATTAACACAGTATTTTAACCCCAAAACCCTGTTAACATGACTTTTTACATTTCAGGTTGATGCTATGCTCCAAAAACTGGAAAAAGAAATTGATGATGTTGATGCCAAGATTGGAGACCGATGGCGGTTACTGGATAGGTTTGTCCATTGCAACTCTGAAAAAAATTGCATGTTTTGTTTTGATTGTTGATTCTATATAAAACTATGATTGTTGATAGGTTTGTGTATGTTCATGTTCGTTCATTTAACTTTAGCTGATTAGCTGATCAAATGAACGAACACAAACAACTAAACGAATAAAATTTCTTTTTCGTGATCATTCGTTAAGGAATGTAACTTGTTCGTGTTCGTTCATGTTCTTTCATTAAGGAATGTAGCTTGTTTGTATTCGTTCGTTAAAATGATAAATGAACACAAAGAAATGAACGTAAACGAACCCAAACAAACGAGCATAAACCAATATAAACAAACGTAAATGAACATAAGCAAATGTGAACGAACGAACATAAAATTAATTGGGTTTGTATATGAGGAAAGTTTTTTTTCATTTAAAAAAAATTTAGGGTTCATATTTTCTTCGATTGATTTGGGTATTTTTATTTTGGTTTAAATTTAATTGGGATTTATAATGTTAATGGCTTTAAGGTTAAAATTTATTATGTCTTAATATTTTAAACGGGTTTGAAGATTGGGTTGAACATAAACGGACGAACATGAGCGAACGAATATAAATGAACGAACATAGACAAATCTTAATGAACGACATAAACAAACATATTATCGAACGTTCACGAACGTAAGTGAACGAACGAATCATTTGTTCGTTTTTGTTCATTTTTTATAAGAAAGTCGGCCTCGTTAAAAGCCCCCTTCATGATTAATGGATCACAAAGTGCTCCTTAATCAGCAGAAGGAGGAAAAGAGTGCCTTAGAATTCATTAATAACCGAAAGATACATAATGTTTAAAAACACACATAGACACTCCCTTTACAATAACCAACCCAAAGCCTAAAAGTAACCTAAACAAAACAATGAAACTTGCCAATAGCAGCCTTAGCTAGGCTATCAGCCTCAACATTGGCTGACCTAGCAACCCATCTAATAATACCCTTCAAATCTCTTAACATAGTAACAATGACTTTCACTAAATCTATGTAGACAAAGGGACAACTATCATTGTTCTTGACCCAATCCACTGCTAGTTTACTGTCAGTTTCAACAATTAAACGTTCCTTAAACCGTTGCTGAATCGAAGCAAAGAAAGTTAAGCCCTTCTTAATTGCCAAAAGCTCAATCAAAGTAGGAGGACCTGGATCAACAGCCTCTCAAATTGTGAATCACTGATAATATCATCAATGCAACATCTCAACCTTCTCGAAAGACACTTGGAAAGAATCTTGTACATCCCACCTAATAGGCTAATAGGTCTGAAATCATCTAAACTCCCAATATTAGAGCCCTTCGGAATGAGAGTTATGAAAGAATGATTAATGCCATGCTCCCAATCCTTTTCCAAAAAGAAATTGTGAAAAAACTTCAGAATATCACCTTTCAAGTAGGACAAGAATTTTTAAAAAAATCACATATTCAACCCATCTGGCCCCGGAGCTTTTTTACTATCACACGAGTTTATGGTTTCCCAAATCTCATCTTCCATAAACTCCTTTTCTAGCATAAGACTTTGCTCCAGAGAAATTCTTGAAAAGATTAGCTTGATATCCTCCACTTCCAAAGTTGAACGACAGTTAAAAGCTTTAAAAAAATGCTCTCTGACACTAGACTTGATAATAACAAGATCTTTGATAATTTCACCATCAACAGTAATAGCATTCAGAGAATTCATCCTCCTCCTAATGGTAGCGCAAGTGTGAAAAAATTTTGAATTCCGGTCTCCATCTTTAACCCACTTCTCTCTTGAATTTTGAAACCATATTTACTCCTTGATTCTGTATAGTCTCCAAAGTTCATTTCTCAAAAACCTCAACTCTGACACATTATCAATTGCATTGGAAATCTGATTTTGTTGCATCCGCTTTTCTAGCTGGTGAATTTTGTCTCCAAGAACAGAAATGTCAACACGAGGAAACTGTTTTCTATTCCCGGACCAGCTTTTAATGGAAAACTTTGTATTCCTAAGTATGCTCAAAATTCAGCTCTATTCTTGACCTTCTTGAACTCCTTAATAGACTCTACCACCTTCTCCTCAAAACCATCCTCGGTCATTAAATAGCTAAACAACCTAAAAGGTCTCTTACCCCAATTATCTTCCCCACTCTCAAGAATAATTGCATTATGATCAGAGATAGATTTAGGAAGTAAAAGTTGGTTGATACCAGAAAATTTTGCTGAGAAACTAACATTCACCAGAAACCTGTCGAGTTTTACAACAGTAAGAAAATCTCGATTGCTGCTCCAGGTAAAATTACCCCCAATTAAAGGCATATCAATTAGCCCCTTTTGCTGAATAAAGAGACTAAAAATTTTCATAGAATTTCTGTTATGAGCTCTACCTTCCTTCTCATCTTCTGTTAAATAGGCATTGAAGTCCCCTCCCACACAAAAAGGTACGCTGTACCCATTTAAAAACAGTCCCAGTTCTTCAAAAAAACCAGCCTTCTCTTCTTCCACAGATGGACCATAAACGTTTATGAAACTACACCTAAATTGGTTGGATTTGAACTTCCCGAAAATAGCAATAAACCTCCTGTGAATATGCTGATCTTCTAACTCAAAAGTACTGTCATCCCAACAACTTTAAATACCTCCTGAAGAACCTGCTGCTGGAGACTCAACGAACCCTTGCAACTTATTCAAACCACTTCTCCTTAAAAAAGAGCTTGGTACAGTCTCAAGTTTTGCTTGTAGAAAAAGAAACGATGGTTTATTCTCAGAAACTAGTTTTTGTACAACTCTTTGCTTTTCTTTTTTACCCAACCCCCAACGTTCCGAGAAAAAATAATCAACTTTGGCATCATATTCTTGTTTGGTAGTACCAAAACAATCCAAGGATATACCCTCAACTCAGCTAGCCCCGCTCAAGCCTTTCTCCAAGTCCATAATTTTTTGTAGGAAAGCTTCCTTCCCTTCTTTGAAAGATAAACCCAATATCTTGCTAATTTCCCATGTAGCAATAGCTTCCTCCAACAACAATGGAAAAGCTGATGATGATAATGTAGAAACACTAGAATGATCTGCAGCGTCTCTAATGAGGGATCTTTTAAATTTCCTGTTGAGTCTTCTCACCCTTGAACCATCAATCTCCATTACTGAAAAACCAGCAGCCTCTGGAATTTCAGAATTACATCCTCTTGAATTTAAAGCCCTACCCAACTTATTACTGAACTCCCCTCGTGACACATCCTTACAATCCTGCACATATTGGATCCATAACTTCCTTCCCTTTGACCTACTATAAATTCTCTAATAACTTCTGACTAACTTCCTTCCAACCAGGGCGGTCTTCATGGATAACGGGCTTTCTGAACGAACTTACGAACCAACTCTTGAACTTGTCAACTTTAAACCTTCAGCAGACCCCAGTCCATCTTCAATCCCTGCTGGATCCTTAATATTATCTGATGTTGAAATATGACAGCCCATGGTTATTCGACCATTTTCTTGATCCAGTCCACACAACAATTGTCTTCCCAGGCCTTTCTGAAGCCCATTCTCCCAGCCAACTTTATCATGCTTATAGGAATCACCCCCCATACTCTCTCCATCTTCTCTTCCTTCAATAAAACCTTCCGACTTTTCATGTTGGGTGGAGACAACTCCTGTAGCTTTCACTCCTTTACACAAATCCACCAAAAAATTATTTTTTGAATTTGAGCAAATTTTCAAACCTCCCTCGGTTTCTGTAATTTTGCCATGATGTGAGCCTTGGACCCATTCCTGCACCCTATTATGGGTTTCTGACATTTCCTGAAATCCCACGTGCCCTTCATGCTGCACCTGAACATCCTCTTGGCTCCATTCAGAGGAGCTCCCCGCCCATGGATCCTCTGGAACATCCTCTACAACCATATCTGATAACTCAGGAAAGAAATATTCACCACATTCAACCTTAATTTTAATCAGGAATTTCCTCCCATACGTATTAATGTTAATATGATCAGGAATGTCAAAAGGACTGACGACCCTAAGAAGCATTTGCGCCACTCTGCAATCCACTCTTTGAGCAGTTTCATCTTTGATCTTCACTAACTTGCTCCATCTGGATGCCAAACTAGTAAAGAAAGGAACCGACCAGCAATTTAATGGAACTCCTATCATGGAGATCGTACAAAAAGCTAGTGGAATACTTCCCTCATCCAAAACAGGTTCCAATCTTTCAAACCAGAAGGACAAAGCTTCCCATTTCTCTTCCATCACCTTCCTTCTCTCCTCCACCGATTGGAAAACTACCAGGCAAGCATTCTTTGCAAAGCCCCACCTTACGACCTTTACATTGATGCCCTCATTCCTTAACGCTTTCTGCAAAAAATCTACTTCAAAAATTTCTTTACAAATGCCAGTAAGGGATGACCTCAACCAGACCCTTTCCTCCACCAGAATAAAAACTTCCATAGGATTTTTCATCTCCTTCATATTTAAATGATTGCCCTCTTGGACACCCTCTGGATCTTTATTCACCCCAACAACCTATCTTTATAGGTCCTTCCATCATGAAACCTATTCATCATCTCCATCTTCCTTACCCTTCCAACTGGAGAAGACAAGCTTCCAACCTTCTCCCCTCCTTTTCCAACACTATTTGATCCCTCAACCCTACCATCTTTCTGCCTCCTTTTCCCAGATAGTTTCTCATATTTAGCTACTGTCACAGAAATTTTCCTTCCATCAATCGTGACGTTGTTCATCTTTTCCACTGCATTGCACAGATCCTCCTTGCTTGTGAAATGGACAAAAGCAAACGTACTAACCTTATACTTCGGTCTGTTGACTTTTCCATAATCACTAAAACGATCTCATAAAGCACTACGATGCACTCTCCTACTAAGATTATCAACGAACACTGACCAAGAATCTCCTCCATGTGGAGAACATAATACTGTCATGTTTAGAGAGCAAAAAAATGTTTTTATTATATTTAAAGTGGAGGATTTGGTAGAAATGAGAGTCGTGTTTGTTCATTTAATTAGACAAACATAAAATCTTGTTCAATTTGAAGGTGAATCACTCTCCAAAGACAAACCTAAATGAACCCTATGTTAGTATGCTATTCTTTTAGCTGTGAATTTTATGGGTGTAAAATGAACCCACTAGAAAGACCGTAACATCTTTGAAGCTTCTATACCTTGAATCACATCTCTGGGACTGTCTACTCCCCTGGTTCAGAGTTGCCAAATATGAAAGTTGTCTCCTTGTGTTAAATCAACCTTTAAAGGATCCACAAATCTGTTTATCGCATTTGATGAAATATAAATCAAAGACATACCTAATAAAATCACCCAGACTAACCTCCTATTATTTAGCTAGACCAGGCATATAACATGCATTGTTCAAAACCTGGACATCCTATGTACCCAAGTTTTGATTGAATCCAGGACACGGTATTGCATCAAATGGGACCTTAACCGTTTTTCATACTTCCCTGAAGTATATACATTGATGTGTCACTATCAGCAACTATGTTTCACTTTTCTACGTAGAATATAGATCCTTCCTTTCCATCTTATTCTATTTTTTTACTCTTATTTCAAATAATGCATTACTCTTCCAATGGAAGGATTTTGTTAAATTTCTGTGTTCCCCATTTGTATGCCAGGGATTATGATGGTAAAGTAACTCCTGAGGAGGTTGCCCATGCTGCTATGTATCTCAAGGATACATTGGGCAAGAAGGGTCTTCAAGAGCTTATTAGCAACCTCTCCATAGATCGAGGTCAGATTTTATTTATAATTTCGAACATCTAGGAGCAAGATAAATACCTTTTCCATTAGGCTGGACTCTGTTGTGGTTTCTATGTAGGACATAGTTAAATCTTTTTTTGGCCCATAAACTTAGGTCCTTTCTTTAATATTCTTGTGTAATTGCATACCATTACTGTTCAGACCTTAAATTCCCTTTGTTTTGCTTCTTGCCCTGAATTTTTTGCAACAGAAGGAAAAATACTTGTTGAAGATCTCATCAAATTAGGTGGTGAAACAGAAGATGCCGAGGACGACACCGCTGAAGCAGGAAGACCATAGGGAAATGTACTGAAATTTTTTGTCGTGAAATCTTTTTTGGAAGTATCATCGTTAGTGCATTTAATACAACATTGTTATAAACTTAGAAATAAAGTAGCACTTGACTTTAGCATATGGTATGATGGTTTTATGTCACCTACTACAAACTGAATATATTACAAGTCGAGCAAACATGAACCCTACAATATTCTTTATCGCACAAGGTTATAGTGAAACAGGGCGATGCTGTTTGAATGGTTGAAGAAGACGACATTGAGGCCATTTTCTTCTTTTAACTTTAACTTCAGTGTTTTGACGATGGAGAAATCTCTAAGACATCAAACTGATAGTCATGAAAGATTTGATTTTTAGTGCTTATTTTACTGAAAGCTGATCTCAAAAAATAATTTTGGAAAATATTGGGTAAATTATTTTATGCATGATTAATTTTTATTTTAAAAGTATTCATTATAAATATCAAATAAAATAAACAGTGTTATTTATTATAAAAAAATATTAGCATTATTTTCGATAATAATTTAACTAGAATTATTTTTTATAAAAGTATTATTAATTTATTTACAGTGTCAGTTTCTTTCGTTTCAAGCGTTCATTATTTTTCATAATTTGTTTATGCTCGAGGAAGCAAAGACTTATTTACATCGATGTTTTCTTCCTTTAAAGCGTTGTATGTTAGAAAAAAGTGGTAACTACGAGTTAAAAATGATTTCTCTGGTAAGCTGTTTAACATATTTTTTAGTTAATTTATAATTAGTTTTTGCATTAATCAATTACTTGAATCAAATGCTAAAAACATATGAAATATGTTTAAAAAAATAATTACAGAAAAATAAGCATACCTTACTTGTATTTAGGATTTTTATAACAAAATATCACTGTGTTGGTTTGCATTGATATAATTAAATGATAGCATGAATAATAGTTACTAATGGCTTAAAAAATTGTAAATATTTATTTAAAAATTAATATATATTAAAAAAAATTAGCAGATTAAAATAATATTATAAATAATGGGTAATAACAATGGTTTAATTAATCTAGAAAGCAAATAATGATTTTAGGATAAACTAATTTAAATGCATCTATCATGTATTAAAAGTTATCCTAAGGGATAAATTAGTTTTCCTTCTTTTATGAATAAATTAAAGACAAAAAGGCATGCGAGTTTTGTGACAGCAATTTTTTTTATAGATATTTGGATCATTGCTTATTTTTTTATAATCTATAATTATTTTATACATTGTTGGTAACATTTAGAAAATTCCCAAATGAGTTTGTGTTACTCTAGGTACTTTTAATTGTTTTTTTTAACTTTTATAAGAGAATATAATATTCAATTATTTTTTACCATATAGATGACCCTTATCAACTTTTATATATAATATTTATATGTTTATAATTTTGTTTTTAAATATTATTATTTATAAGGAATGACCAAATTATCTGAATTCCATATATTTTGACATAATATAATTTAATAAAATTATTTTTTATTTCAACTTTAAGATGAATTAAAAAAGTAATTTTTATAATTAAATTATTGTTTCTCCTAAAAAAAACTTTCATTATAATTTTAAAAAAATCCTATCCATTTTTATAATTAAATTATTGTTTCTCCTAAAAAACTTTCAGTTATTATAAATGTTCTTTCTTTTCGCTCAGCTATATAAAGATCTTGGATGTAATCTTTACCCTGAGATTTCGATGAAAATCGATCGGTGTTGGTCATATTTGCTTCTGAGAACAACAATTAAACCGTAAATCATATCAGATGGATGAAAAGAATGCAGGAACAGGGTCTAAAACTCAATCATAAAACAAACAACTTTGGGATTGATCGTCCCCATGAATCCGTGCATGTGTCTTTCTCATGCAAAAGTACATTTGGAGCTTTCATTTTTCTAAATCGAAACCATTTCCAAGTAATACAAGCTGATTGAGCTATTTTACTAAACTAATACAAACTCTTTAAGCAACAACATTTTAGCCTTTGGCTACACATATGACCTGCTTGCCGATATTTATACCAGCAAATAGTCCAACAAAAGCAGCCGGAGCTGTTTCTAAGCCTTCATTCATATCTTCAATGTACACAATCTTCCCCTGTTTGAAGTTCTCGGTGACGTGTTCCAAGAACTGTGGGAACTTATGCAAGTAATCGCTTTGCAAGAATCCTCGCATCCTGATGCGCTTGGGGTACAACACAAAACAAATTGTGGATCCCTTTCGTATCAGAGATACTATGTAACGACACCATCCCGCAGACAGCTATACGTCCATGGATCCACATGTTGAGCAAAGCTGCATCCAAAATGGCACCGCTGACGTTGTCGAAGTAGATATCGATGCCTTGGGGGAAGTACCTGTGCAGAGGTTTTATCTAACCAATGAATACTGGACAAATGCAGCAACGCTATTCAAGTGCATCAAATTATAATTCGAGAAGCTTTAATGTATTACTGACCTTTTCAGAGCAGCATCTAGGTCTGTCTCCTCTTTTTGTAGTTAAAGGCTTCATAGAATCCGAGCTTGTTCTTTAGAAGATCGATCTGTATGCCAAATTCATTCTTTCTTGCATCAGTTCTTGTATTATCATATGGCATGAGGATTCGTTTAAAACTAGCTCACAGTTTTGAACAAGAAACATACCTTTTGGCTACTTCCGGCACTTCCAACTACATAGCAACCATGTAACTTGGCAAGTTGTCCAACAAGCTGGCCAACAGCCCCTGAAGCCGCAGATAAGAAAACATATTCTCCGTTCTTCGGGCTGCAGATTTCGTAAAATCCGGCATAAGCAGTAAAACCTGGCATACCTGCATTAAACCTCTAAATCAGTAATGAACTCAATCATTATGCCATTTGTCTAGGAACGACCTACTTGGTTTGCAAGACATAAGTTCCAGGCAGCAAGACCAAAGATTTTTTTATGTAATTTGTCGGTATGAAATACTAGACATTTAAAAATCCCTCCAAATCAACCTTGCCAATATTAACATAATACTAATCGATAAGCTAATGTCGTATGATCTGTGCATGGCAAGCAATTTGGAAGAAAAAGGAACTCGAGATTCTGCAAAAGCATCAGAGGTAGCTTAAACAAATATATAGAAAAAAAATTCTCTTGATTGGACAACAATCATACCCAAGCTCTATGTGATCATAATTATGCACAATATACATAAGAGAAAATAATTTCATTTACCGAAAATGTTTTATAATATACGATTTTAACCAACTTTTTTTAGATTTGTAAAAATAACCAATAATTTCGCAATGCGAACTCATATTTCGCAACACAGTTTCCAAATTCGCAACTCGAACATGAAAATTTCCGCAACGCGAATTTCCGATATAGGTAAACACAACTATTCGCAACGCCAATTTCGCCAATTTCGCAACTCAATTACCGATATAGGTAAACAAGGTAAAACAATTCGGTCAAAAATCCGAATTCGCCAATTTGAAAACTGAGTTGTGAATTTGGCAAATTCGTGTTGCGAAATGTAAAATCTCTCCTTTTAAAGAAAAAATCATTTCGACAATTCGTTCGTTTGGTTAAAGTTAAACGAACGAACGAACATGAACATACCCTCGTTCGTGTTTGTTCAATTCATTTACAGGCGTAAGTTTAACTGAGTGATTCATACGTGGACTTAGCAACTAGGATGTCCCAGGTTGAAAACCACTCCATTGCATTTTATGTCCTTTAAATTTTTCTTTAAGAGGCGGGATTTTACATTTCGTAACACGAATTTGCCAAATTCGCAACTCAGTTTTCAAATTGTCGAATTAGGATTTTTACCCGATTTTTTCTACCGTGTTTACCTATATCGGTAATTGAGTTGCGAAATTGGGATTTGCAAAATTCACGTTGCGAATAGTTGTATTTACTTATATTGATAATTAGCGTTGCAAAAACGAAATTCATGTTACGAAAATTTCCATGTTCGCGTTGCGAATTTGGAAACTGTGTTGCGAAACAAGAGTTTGCGTTGCGAATTTGTTGGTTATTTTTGCAAATAAAAAAATTGATTAAAATCGTATATTATAAAGCATTTTCGGTCACTGAAATTATTTTCTCTATACATAATGATGGTTCTCTATGATTATCCTTTCTTATCCAGATAAACAATGACAATCATAGAAACGTAGAGTAAGGACCTCCATTAGAAATTTAGCCTAATCACCTCTGAAAATCCATAATTGTTCTCAGTTTTCATTAGCAAGTAAAGTTCCAAAATAAGTAGGTTGACATTGAACCAACTGTAAGACCAGAAGGACGCTGGGATTTCCTTATATTTTTTATGGATAATTTAATTTCATACAAGTGCAATTTTATAATTTTGCACCCTTGAATAATACTCTTTCTATCCCATTAAATACGTCTCTTGGAGACTTTTTTTGGTTGGTTATTTTAAACTTTAACTCATTATTGTTTAAAATTTATTATTGATAAAAATATAAAAATATATTTAAAAAATATTAAATCAAGCTAATTTTAAATATAAATTTTATAGAGTTTAATTATTTAAAATATTTATTTTTAAAGTTTAAGAATTATAACTGAAAAAGAATAAATTTGGAATTTTTATGTTGGCAAAAAAGGGGGGGGGGGGGAAACCCAGATACAATGATAAAAAGGATGAAATAACAAATACCAAGAAGTCCTAGATGGTAAGAGAGAGGGATATAATGGTCGGGCTGTATCTTTCTGAGCTGCCAAGTGTTGCGGATCAAGCTGTACTCTTCCCAACCAGTGAGTCCCGAAATGAAATCGCCAGGCTTGAAATCTGGGTTATCAGAATCCAACACTTTCGCCACTCCAAATCATTCAATGGCCTTAAACCCATCATCATCATCATCATCATCATCATCATCATCATCATCATCATCATCATCATATAGCTAAAACCATAAATCGAAACCGTATCGGATCGAGTAGGAGAGAGAATACCTTAGAAAGGACAAATGGGGAAATGTAAGAACGGTGAAAATCACGCATGCGACCTCTCATGTAAGGGTCGCAAGAGAGGGAGAGATTCTTGACTAGGATAGCACCCGAACCTTTCGGCGACTTCAGCTCTATTTTACCCGTTTTCATTGCCATGTCCGTCTCTTTGGGTGGTCCTTCTATGAACCTTTCCAGAACCACCTGTTTGTTCTCCGCCGTCGCCGTCCCCTCGCCGGCGAACATCCGAATCCGATCGAACTCTCAGCTCTGCGAAATG